CATAAATTATACTACTATGGAAAGCTCACATTATCAAAAAATCTGTTATAAACGTGACTATGCCATGGAAGATGGGGTTAGCATCTAGAGTCTCTTAAACACAATTATTATCACTTTCATTGTTATTACAAACAAAACACAAAACTAGTGTAACAAAAGAAAGAGTTAAATGACCAGCCAGCCACACAAAGCAGCAATGTATTCCTAGCCTGAGTGAGCCATAGCATTTTTATTTTTCTTATTTTGGTGCTAGTTCTTGATTATAATTGTAGGAAATTTGGGTTATGCAAAACATGTTCTTTAATTAGTCAATTGTCTTTCAAGCAGTTCATGTTAAGGAAACTTGCTCTGAGGAGATAGTGTCTGTACTTAATATCCAGGAATGGAAGTGTGGCCCACCGCATTTCAAATCTTTTAAAGGGACCCAACCCATCCACTCCAAGCCCTTCAGAATCGGTGATTTTGAATCTTTGTCCTGCTATAGTTCCATACCTTGGCCCGTGGTCTCCCCACAGACACATTCACGTGGATATCCTGATTTCAGACACAGTAACTCAGAAGCCTCTTCAGGACAGGGTTCTCAACCAACCCACCCCTAGATAAGAAGGGGTGCTCTGTCCCTGAGCACCGGCACAGCATGTGACATCTGCCCAGGTCTCACCTCTTGAGAGACGAATACTGTTAGGTGTGAGCAGTAGGTAAGAACACCCATTGGAACTCTCAATGCTGTTTCAGCCTAATCTGGATGCTCATCGATACAGCTGATCAGAGCCGGGCAGATTCTTGTGCCTTTGATCTAGTCTAGTTTGGAAGAAAAGACTAGGATTTCTTCCCATCTGGTGATTCCATAACCTATTCTTATCAGTGCTTGCAACTACAGAACAAAGTTATTCTGAGCAAAGATTTGTAGTTTACAGCTCGATTCCTTCAGAGTGAATAAGCAGCGCTATTTATAGTTATCTCATTTTATTGCTTTAATTTATGTATCTGCAAGAATCGGTTCTAATTGTGGGTGATTATCAGGAGGGAAATGTGCTCTCATGCACCTCAGGGGATTTGTTTGTGAGCCTCTAGTTTTAAATAGCCCATTTATTCCCCAGTGGGTAGAAAATCAATTTTATGGATCTTCAAACATACATAATAACCATTATGAATAATAAGGTAAATATTAAAGTGATATTAACACATTATTTACTTTAATGGTTTTTCTTTTCTAACTATGAAGTCACCTATTTTTTTAATTTTTTATTTATTTATGATAGTCACACAGAGAGAGAGAGAGACAGAGGCAGAGACACAGGCAGAGGGAGAAGCAGGCTCCATGCAGGGAGCCCGACGTGGGATTCGATCCCGGGTCTCCAGGATCGCGCCCTGGGCCAAAGGCAGGCACTAAACCGCTGCGCCATCCAGGGATCCCCTGAAGTCACCTATATTTCTACTATGTACTTCCAAGGGTATTTCTAGTGTAATACGATACAAAGAGGGACTTTGACCCTCTCTATGTGTTACCAGGAGAATTAAAAATTGGTTAATAGCACTGATGGGGAGACGCAAGGCCTCAAGGAACAGAAAAGATACTCTAAGGCATAGAAATGACATGCCTGGATTTCTGCTAGCTACAGATGACCTTAAGGAAGCATCATATGTCCAAGCAAAGCTCACCAGCCCTATCAAGTATTTGATATATGACTTTCCAATCCAATCTTCCCATTAACAGAGAATTATATTTCTCAACCAAAAATTAGATAAGAATATTCTTTTTTCTCAAAGCTGGAAATGCATTTTTGTTGTTTATCCATACTGTTCCCCAACAGTGCCATATTCTCTAGTACTCTAGGCCTTTGTACGTTATTTCATCTGACCTCAATGCCATTGTTCACTTACCAAGATCCCACTCATACTGAAGGATATTAAATGACACCACTCCCAAGAAAGCTTTTTTGATCAAAATCAACCCTCCCCAGTTAAAACCACACCCCTCCATACTCATTTGCAACCTATTAAAAAAGTTATTTCATTTTTTTTATATCATGACCAGTTGCTAACATACTTAGATCACTTGTTAGTTTCTACACTCCTGGAATTCAGATTGCTCATTTATCTTTGCATATCCCACAAAGTCCATATGTATTTCCTCCGCATAAGTTGTAAAGGAGAAGTTAAATCATTGCTATATGAGCACAATACAGAGAGATGGAATAAACTAGAATATCCTCCTCATTGTCACAGTCCTATTTAGGGTAAACTTGGAATCCAAAGAATCTGAGTGAAGCCTGAGCTACCCCTTTTGGATAGCTAGTGTGGCGACTCAAATCTTCAAGTTGGGCCCAGTAAAGAAACAATTGTTTCTTGCCCTTAAAAACAGTAGATTCAAATTAAAAACAAAAACAAAACAAAAAAAAAAAACAACAGTAGGTTCCACTTTTCTGAAAAGAATAAGAAAAAAACACAGCTAATAGAGACATCCTTTCTTCAATGTGAGTTTAGATTGTGTTGTCTTAGACAAAACGTAATGCTTGCATTGGTGAAGTCTGATTACTTCTAGGTTACCAGCAAGGGAAACTGATTGCAGTTCTCATGGTGGGGAGATGAAACTGGTAATAAAACATCCTATTTCACCCTCATTCAGGGGCCTGGAGTCTGTCCCTTTCCTCGAGAGCTGACCAAACCAGCATCAGTGCCCTCAAAGAACACCTTGTCAAAGCCTGAGGACCTCAAGTTTCAGGAATGGAAAAGGCTTCCTTGGACAGTGCCTTCTCTTCCTCCTATGGAAGGAATTTTCCCAGAGGATGAACCCCTAAGTGAGGAGTTGGGGGAGTAGAGGGAGGAAAGAACAGGAAGATGGATCTACAGAAGACATCTTTCCTTTAAAGCCCAAGTTGGGAATGGCTTTTTCTAAGATGGGACAAGGGAATACCTCGGATAGAAACCCAGTCAGTGTTTCTTTCACACTGCCCTCTATTCTGGGATCTGACACTCCCATGGGAAAAAAAACCAATAACACCACCACCACCGAAAAACCATTTCACTGAGGCTCTATTTATTTCATCAAGTAGGGAATGGCAAGCCAAGGGATCACGCAGAGACAGAGCTGGAGGGGACTCTGCCCTCAAGCAGATTACTAGAGCTGGTCATACCTGGTTAATGGCAATGAGGAGGAGACCTACTGTCTACAGAAACAAAGAACAAGATGAAACATAGAGATGGTCATGCTGGATTCCCAGACGATATCCATGTTAGTAGAAAATATCCTAAAAAAACAAATAGGAGGGGGGCCTTATCATTCTCTGGTGATGAGTAATAGGGATTCTGATATGAAATCTCCCTTTGGACTTTCATAGTTGGGGACTCAAAGTGGATGAGTAGAGATTTAGGGTTCCATAAATGGACTCTTTGCTGAAATAAATCATTTACAGAGGGAAAGAAGGCATATGTGGAGGCCATATTGAAGACAGCATTAAAGGCTATCTGAGCTCCTTTTCCCAGCTGGTGAAGGCTAGGGTGTTGCTCCCCCACTGAGTCAGATTTGTCAGAGGATATCACTGGCTTTCAGAAGCCCCTTTCGGGAAGAAGTTCAACCCAAAGCCAAGCAGGAATCCAAACTCACTATTAATCTGAAGGGGCCAGGCAATGAGAAATCTGGTGATGAGACACATGATAAAAAATTTGAAGTACCAGATGGTAAGTAAGGTCATGTAAGCCAAAGCATATACTTTGTTTGTTTGTTTGCTTTTAGTGAGTCAGGGGCATTGGCATTAAGATAGGGAGAGAATTCTTTATGGTACTGACTTAGCCTAAAAAATGCTTGCCTAAGGAATTTGGATTTTGTTCTATTAGCACTAGAGAGTCATTGAAATTGTTGTGTTTTCTTTAGCAAGGCAATGAATGAGGAAAATAGTTTTGGGGGGAATTATTCTGGAAACAATATACAGAATGGATTGGAGGATAGAAAAGACAGGTTGAAATTGCATGAGATGAAAATGTACTGAACTAAAGAGTAACAATAAGGCTAGAAAGAAATGGATATCTGTGTGAGAAAATACAAATGAAGAATTAACAGGACTTGGTATCTGACCGAATATAAAGGATAGAGAAAAAGAAGTTTCAAAAATGACTCAGGTTTCAAATTTAAGTAAAAGAAAACTATTGGCACCAATCAGAAGTCAGACTAATTACCCTTTCTTGGTTCTCCCCTTCAAATTTTGCCTAAGCATATTTTGGTGAAAACAGCTCATCTTATGAAAGTTGATAGGCTAAAAATATTTGAATCAGGTAATTTGAGAAGAGAAAGAAAGAATCCAACTGTTTCCTAATTACAAAGTTCTTCTAATGATATAGAAGAGATAATACAAGCAGAACCTAACAAATATATAATAAATTCAAGCCAGTCTTCTTTAAATATTGTTCCACATGTGTTTAATATGGTTGGGGATAAACGGATATTTTATTAATGAAAGCCATATACTTCTTTATGTTCAAAAGATTTGACTTATTACATGACCTGAATGTAACACAGTATTTTCACTTTTCAGTTTTTCTATCACTGCTGTCACTAATATCAATCAAATTCTATTTTGCTGAACCCACTGGAATTTGCTTCATTTGGAAAAGAATACTGCCTCAGTTTCAATTAGTTTTCAACTACAGAATCATAATTATCTGACCCAGCAGATAGCCAAAACTGTTCTATTTAATTTTTTTTTTATATATGAGACTTGGAAAGTGAAATGTATTCTGTGCAAGAAAACTTTTACAGAAATAAGAGGAAGTCACCTTCATTTAGAGATTAACTCCTCTAGCCCAAAGTGAAAACTAAAACAATTTGGCCAAAAGATCCAACATATGTATAATTCTCTCTCTGTTCCTCTGTTTTTCTCTTTTTTCGGTTTTATTTTGCAGTTTTTTGATATAGGAAACTTCATGGGTACCCTGTAAATGCTCAAAATGTAGGTAATAAGACAGATCACTTGTTTCCAGTAAATAGCATCATGCCTCGTCATACCTGGTGTCATAATTTTATTCTATTTATTTTTTAAAGATTTATTTATTTGAGAGAGAATGCGTACCGGGGGAGGGGCAAAGGAGAGATTCTTCAGCAGACTCCGTGCTAAGGCCGGAGCCCTACACGGAGGCTCAATCCCACCAGCCTGAGATCACAACCTGAGCCGAAACCAAGAGCTGGATGCTTAATTGGTGGAACCACTCAGGTGCCCCCGGGGTCGTAATTTTAGCTGGTCAAGACTTCAGGAAACCAGCAGCGGATCTCATGCTTGGTACTCAACCTAAATTGCAGTACCCAATAGGGCATTCATGTGTTGCGAGATACTCACTGGAGATTGTTTGATATTTCTACTCAAATACCAGAGGAGCAGAACCACCACCTTCCAGCCTGGTGGGCAGCTCCCCATCACCATGCCCCCGGTTCACTCCAGTGTGTCCATGTCTTCCTAGAGCCTGGAGGACCAGGACAGACAACGTCAGGCTAGTCACCTTCTAAACCAGCTCTGAGTTTAAAAGAATTCCTTTTGTGGGAAATCCCATGGGACTCCATGATGGAAGCAGTTCATTGGTCTTTTTCAGAGAACATTGTTATGGAATCATTTGAAACTGTTTCGCTATTAGTGATGTCATTAGTCACTAGCTGGGCTGAAGGGATAGCTTTTGCTGTTGTTGTTCTGCAGTGACATGTTTTATTTACATGGATAATATTAATGTCTTCTCCGTGTTCCTAAAAAACAAAACAAAACAACAAAACAAAAAAACCAGTTATATTTCAATGAATCTTTTAGTCTGTTTTATTAAGAAGTTTATAAAATGCAGAAATCAAGACACTTTCTTTGGAAAATAATGTCCCGGTATTATTTTTCTAGGACTGCTGTAACAAAGTACCACGAACCCAGTGGCTTAAAAAACAGAACTTAATTTTCTTACAATTCTAGAGTCTAGAAGTCCAAAATCGAGATGGTTCCTTCTGAGGGCTGTGAGGGAAGGACCCGTTCCAACCTCTCTCATCGTCTTATCCATGGCCATCTTCTTCCTGTGTCTTCACTTCATCTGCCCTCTGTATGTGCTGCGGCCTAAATTTCCTCTTTCTGTAAGGGCACCGATCATATTAGATTAGGGCCCATCCATACGACCTCATTTTAATTTAATTAGCTCTTTCAAGACCTTGTCTCCAAATACGGTTACATTCTGAAGTACCGGGGAGTTAAAACTTCAACATATGACCTCTTAGGGGGATATAACTCACCCTGTAATGTCTGGAAACAAAGTTTTGAGTCAATGCAGCACATTGGCTTTCTGGGAAAGTGAGTCCCAAGTACGTGGCACTCCCAAACCATGCCAGCACCCTGCTGGACATGCACCCACGGCGTCCTTTCTTCCTCTTCTTTTGCTTTAGCTCCAGCTTGGTGGCATCTGCTCCTCAGAAGGCGGTAGGGAGAAGGCTCACTGTGGCCACCAGCCTGCAAGGGCTCCAGAGTCTTGGTCCAGGGTTGTGGGTCTGTTCCCCCTGCTGCCAGTCTTTGGGGTGTCTCGGCCCCTCGTCACCTGGGATCCTGAAGCAGCTCTGCCTGTACTCAAAATTTCAGAGTCTTCCTGACTAACTCACTCCACTCCAGCCTCCAACTCCTCACTGCACAGAGGACCTCACATCAGGCCAAGAGGAGAGACGTGACTCTGCCCTGTCCAGCCTTCTCCTCCCTCTACCTCAGCCCATCTGTCCTACAAAACGTCCTCTCTCCCCTCACAGTTTCAGGACAAGGATTTTAATCCTGAAGAGTGGGAACGAGCAACCTGTGGTAGATGAGTGTACATGCGCCTGGGGAGAGTGGGCAGGTGGCTGGGTTGGTAGTGACACAGTGTGCCGGTGGGGAGGACCTACCTCGTGTGTTTGCATGTACAGAAGGTGTTGGTTATTTTAGCAGAGGATTTGATTTTTCCTCCTGGCTGTCTGAACGATCAGCCCGTGGCCTTCTACACATATGGTGAGATAGAATCATGCAACCTTAAGTCAAGAGTTTAAGAAACATTCGAGATACTTTTACCAGTGTCTTTGTGGTTTAAGTGAAAAAACTGGGGCACAAAGATGTCATATCCAAGATGATATAATAGTTCATTAAATGTTGTTAGTTTGAGAGCAACATACATGTAATGATCCGATTGTACGAATTACAACTGTGTAAAGAGTTTCCTATGAAAGCGCTCTGGAATATATACCCTGTCTGTGACATCCCCCTGCAACATCCCACCACCTAAGGCACATGAATCCCCACTCCTCTTTCCACAGTTGGTTAAACTGGTGTGTACACAAGACCCAGGCTAAGCCGGTTAGAACCTCCTCCCTGGCAACTGGGAATTGGACTTGGAGGTAGAGGGCCGCAATCCGTGTGCCTCCGTGACAAGGTCACGTTCTCCACTGTCTAGTACCAGCCAGGAACAGGGCCAGTGGCAACCTTTGTCCAGACCACTACCCACCTCTGAGGTCAGGAGCCACCTTCTGTGGTGGACAGATGTCCTGTTCTGTCAGAAAGGCCAATTATCAACATGGGAAGCTGAGAGGGAGGTCCTCAAATTCCGGAGTCTGGGGGGCCCCTTCTGCTGGAAGGGCCAGGGGATGTGATGGGCTCGCTGCCATCAGCGGAAGGGCTTCAACAGGTCGCAAGGCAACTAAGCCCAGATCATCGTGGCTCCCTGGCACGGAGGACCATGGCAAGCAGGGCCTTACTCTCATAGTGGCCCCATGGGCTTCCCCACGTGGCTCCCAACCCCGGTGTTGGTAGGCCTTACTCTCATAGTGGCCCCATGGGCTTCCCCACGTGGCTCCCAACCCCGGTGTTGGTACCCAGAGCCTCCCTAGACCAACTCTGCCTCCCTCCACGTGGCTCCCCTAACATCCTGGCTCTACTGATCTCACCAGACCTCACCTCCTTCTCCCTGCGGAGGGGGTAATTACCATCAGAGTTTTCTTTCACCCTCATCCCAGTGTATCATTATTATTACAACACAAATTTTATGCCCTACATCCTTGAAGGCCTTTCCTTTCACTTCTCACAATCCTTTTCTCTCCTCTATAAAAACCCACCTCATTCAGATCAAAAGCCTTGGCTTCTATGCATGTCTGGGGCCGGCAATATCTGGGAAATCTCTGTAAGTTCCCCTTAATTTGGCTGTGAACCTAAATTTGGCTCTTTTTTTAAAAAAAAAAAGTTTGGCTTCCAGAACTATTGTTTCTGATAGACTCTTACAAAAGAGCCTCCTTTTTAAATAGAAAAACAGAAAAAGCAAGCAAGCTTTGACTGTTTATCTTTGCCCACTGGCTGGAAGTTCCCTAATTCCCTTTTAGTCTATGCGGACGGCTCCGGGGGCGCAGGAGTGCACAGCAGGGACATACGTGCAAGTTAGTAGCTCAAGAAACCACCTGGCCAAGCGGGTACGCTCACTGTCGCTGGCAGTCCTTGCCCCCCGGTGAACTGGGAGCAAGTGACGCCAGTTGGCAGGGACAATAGCGGGGATGAACCGAGAAGACTGGGGGACAGGTGTTGGGGTTCCCGGTTTAGGCCCAACTAGAGGCCTGTCGCCCTCCTGCCCTTAAACACCAGCGCGCTTCTGACCTGGCTTCTGCTTGCCCTTCAGGTGGCCCAAGGGTGCTCACCTGTCCTGCAGCCAGGACGGCGCTGACGAATACAGTTCTGCAGTTGCAAAGCTAATCGACATTTTCCCAACTGTCCTGGAAAAGCTCTATAGAGATTAATAGGTGGTTCCATGGCCCAGAACTTCTAGCACGAAAACCTGTGCCATGTGCTGCGACTGTGCCAACCCTCCTGCCGAGGACATGGGGTGCGGTGGCCGCGGGCAGCCTCCGGCGTTGGCGTCCGTCAGGACAGAGAGGACAGGAGGACACCCAGCTTCCACATGGCCCTGCATTGCTGGCCAGGCTTGCCTTCCCAGGATGAGGGCTGGCCCTGAGCCCCGGGCCACAAGGCCGCAGGAGGCCCCTGGTAGCGCAGGCCTGGGCCTGGGCCTGGGCAGCGCCTTGGGGAGGAGAGGGGGGGTCCTTTCCCATCGTTTTCATGACAGACACATGGAGGGAAAGGCCAAGTGGGAAGCACTTAGCTCCTGTGCTACAGCAAGAGAAGAGAACGCTTGCCTGATTCCCAACTTCCCAGGCTCCGGTTCTTTCCGAAGCTGCACTGCCTTCCTGTCTGTGATTCCCTGAAATATCCTCGTACCCTTCCAGAAAACCCCCTCCCGTGCGCTTATGCTGACCTGAATGGGCCCTGGTGCAGAGACTGCCCAACCCCTGGGCCACCCAGCTGTCTTCCCCCCCCCCCCCCGCCGTGTACATTTTCAAGCAGCAAGAGGTATTTCAGCTTCTTGAATTTGCTTTTCAATGTGAACAGAGATTAAGACCTTGTTTTACCAAATGCCATTTTATTTTAGTCGTAGGCCTGGATGTGCGAGCCAAGTCATCGATCGATGCCTAAGATATGAGATGATAGATTCAGGAGTTCTCATTTTTAATAATACTGAGGCCATCAGATCATTTTCTTATAAATTTCCACTGTTTGTGGGGTGGCCTGGTGCCAGAAATCTCCTGCCATATGTAAGATTCAGGTTGAACTCTGATGAATAAATAGCTGGAAATGAAATGCCATCTTTGTCCAAAATAGCTTCAGACAGCTTCGTTGTAGCCTTCTGGAGGATTAAAGCTAGAAGAGATCAATGAGGTAGGGCTTCTTAACCTGGAGTCCATTATGCATTGGGTGAGGCTGAGTCCACTGAAATCTGTGCAAAAGGCCTGTGTACAAGGACGGGGTCAATATACTTCAGATTATCAAAGGGCACGTGCTGGGGAAGCCCGTGAAAGCCCACCCCCTCTTTATACAGACGATGAGGAATTCCAGCATCGCAAAGATGTGACTCAGGGAGCCACATATAAAGGCAATGGCAGGGACACCCAGGGGGCTCAGAAGTTGGGCATCTGCCTTTGGCCCAGGCCGTGACCCCAAGTCCTGGGATTGGGTCCCACGTCGGGCTCCCTGGAGGGAGCCTGCTTCTCCCTCTACCTGTGTCTCTGCCTCTCTCTTTCTGTGACTCATGAATAAATAAGTAAAATCTTAAAAAAAATTAAAAAAGAAATATTAAAAAAATAATAAAGACAATGGCAGAGCCAAGGACTAGAATCTTGGTGTCCTGAACCGTAGTCAATATTCTTTTGCTGCATCACAGCAACTCCTAAATATTCAAATAAAAAAGTCCCTTTATTACGTTTTCAAAAAGTCCCTTCATTTTTTAAAGTAGGATTGTAACAAAAAACTAAAGCATGTTCTTTAATGGGAAGAAAAATTGCAGACTCCAAGAATTCTTTTTCCTTAGTAACTATTAGCAATAGCTTAAACACTGTAAAACAACCTCATGGATTATCAGGATATCACAGAATCACGTAAGGTTTCCAGCACCTTTGCTTTAGAGCACCTTTATGTTTTTTAATATTCCATAATCTCACCATAATCCTGGAATTTCGAGAGCACCTCTTAGGGTTTACATTTTACAAATGAGAAAACTGAAGGTCAAAAAGCTTTAATGACTTGTTTAAAAGTCTCATCACCTGAAGATAAAGCCAGTTATAAAAGGAGCCAGTCCTTCGATCTGTAGCACTTGGCTTTGAACTGCCAAAGTGTACTTCTCTGGATAAGGGAAATGTAGCCTTTTTTTTTTAAGGTATTTATTTTAATTAATTAATTAATTTATTTATTTTTTATTTGAGAGTAAGAAAACACAAGTGGGGCAGGGTGGGGGGAGCAGAGAGAGAAGGAGATTCCCTGCTGAGCAGGGAGCCTGATAACAGGGCTCGATCCCAGGGTTGATGACCTGAGTCGAAGGCAGACACTTAACTGAGCCACCCAGGAACCCCAATAATGTAGCTTTAGATACGAGATATAAAGGGACTTGGTGGTAGGAAGTCAAACAAATGGTAGACGCACCAGGACTCAGGTTCATGTTTCCTGAATTGTTTCCAACCACCGATAGTAAGAAGTTTTTTGTTCGGGGAAGTAAGACGAGTCTTCCCTGGTGGAGAAGCAAAGTGGTGCAGGGGAAAGAGCACTAGACCGGGGAGGGTGTCGCCCTGGCTCTGTCACTTGGGGGCTGTGAGACCTTTAACAAGTCACTCAACAGGTGGGCCTAGGTTCATTTTGAGAACAGGGCACCTGATCTCAACACTGTACATCCTCCAACGGGAAGAGTTCCCTAGATGCTTCCATCTGTGCATGGGTACCACCATCCACGAGGTAACGCTCACCATATCAGAATTCTGGTGCCCAACCCATAGTCAGACAAATATGAAATGGACATCCCATGAGAGATTTTGAGAGAATCAAGTGAATTGTAAAAGCTGCTTTTATTAAGTTAAAAACAGCGAATTTCAAAAAGGCTAATTTCCTTAACTCAGAGGTTTTTTAAAAGTTAATTACCTTGTAGACTACTAAAATTTGGATTTTTATAGCTCTTTACTCTCGATTCTCATTTTCTTTGAGTTTGGGCAGGCCCATCTTTCCAAACTGCCAGGATGTGGTTGGGGACATATTCCTTTTTAGCTCTATTAGGTACACTTCCACTCCCTTTGGTGGCAGAAGCCAAGAGCAGATGTGTCAGATTCCCTTTCATGGAATTAAAGTCACCAGGGTTCATCATTTCTGTGAGATCAGGGACAGTGTGTTTAGGCTGAACTACAGCTATTAGAGTGTTCTAATCCTACCTCCAAGCTACCTTTAGCATGAGGAAAACAAGGACATTCGAGAGGTTAAAACATATTTCAGATCTGTAAAAAAATATATTCATTGGTGAAGTATTACCGTCTTCTTCTAAACATCCCTTTTGATATTTGCTACCTGGTTTTGAGGCCTTAAAAACTGTAAATAAGCAGTTGATAAAATAAAAGTAGTGTTTTAAAACAAATACAAGATTATTATAAATAGCCAGATGATTGTGATGGTGGCCTGGCATCATGGGTTGATTAAGATTCATCAGTATTTTACTGTTAAAATGTTATTTTGCTGAATGAAACACATAGAAAAAAGAAAACAAATGTTTTCTTGTACACAAATCTGTTCCGCTCTAAAGTTTGGGGTTCCCAATGAGTTGTTCCAGATTTCTACTTCAGCCTTTTGAGATGGAGACTCTGGGCGAGAGCTGGGGATAGAAGCTTTCGGGTCCCAGGGGCACTGCACTCTGGGTGCACAGGACGCTTGGCTGTGGCAAACAGCTTGAAGCAAATCTAAGTCTCTGTGACGAGGGAAGGACGCGGCGTTTATCAAGGAACCGGCGATCCTGCCATCTGAGTAAATGCCTGTATCTGGCCAGCTGGTAACCTTCATACTCTGTTTAAGTAGCATGTTGCGTTTTACTTGGATTGCATTATAAAGAGTTGCATCCATTAATCCCCCCAGTTAGCCTGCTTGGTGGCACTGAGAGGTCAACAGTGACCAGCTTCTCAAGAGTCAAATTCAAACCGTTCTCAGCGACGGGACTCCTGTCCAATCTGCCACGACGGCTGACCTCTACCCAGTGGCCCCTAGGACAGTATCCTCTTAGTTCTGCTGTTGGCTCGGGGTTCTCTTTGGTGGCTCTGGTCATTCCAGCGGCTCCATATGCACCAAGAGTTCCTGCGATTATCTTTCACTATCTTCTATGTTCCTTCTCTCATCCACTCTCATGGCTGCAACCAGAATTTGTGAGACCCCAGTAACTCCCAAATCTATGACGCCAGTCTTGACCTGAGCTCTAGAGTATTCAGTGTCTCGGCTTTTGTTTCCAGGCAAATCCTAGATAGCTCCACTAAGACCAAGTGAGAGCTTCAAATTCACGTCAAACAGAGCTCACCGTGGAAGCAGCTGCCACCACGGCCCACAGTGACATCCGTGTTTTGGTCCTCATGCCCTTGAGTGACAGTAGAGAACGGGTGTGGGTTGTGGGCACAGTCTATAGTTCTTACTCCTTGCATTTGTTCAGAATAACACTGTTTAGGTCATAAATGTTTGGAATAAGAATTATACCTTAATTTATTCTTATGTGTTCTTATGTCCTTAGATGTGCCTAAAAAATGTCAATGATGGTCATTTTTGTTGTACTTAGAAAACCCTTGAGGTTTTTTTTTTTTTACCTTTGAGTTTTTAAAGAATGTTTTAACAAAACATGCTTTCTCTATCTCAGAAAAAGACCTTTGATTTAAGAAATAAAGTACAATACTTACATATTGGATCTTGAATTTATCTTAAGCCATCAGTGCCCATGCTGCTTCTTTCCCAACCCTTCCATAATTGTTTCATTAGAGCTCTCACATTGGCTCACATAGAGGAGCTGGAGGCAACCTGCATTTTTTAAATGTACAGTCTAATTTTCCTTCCTTGTTAAGGACAGAAACCCAAGCAGAAGCAATTATTACCTGTAAACAGATTCCTTCTCTAGGTATCAATGAGTTCCTACATCTCTTGGAGCAGTTTTTTCTTTCATAAAACAAGGAAAATAATTCCAAATTTGCAGGGTGTGAAAAGGATTAATTAGGTCACAACTGTAATGATAAAAAAGGATTAATTAGGTCACAACTGCAAGCTTTAAGTGCTATTTCTAGAATTTTTTTCACTCAGTTCGGCAAAGAATACACTAGATTTCACAATTGTAAAATTAGCTTTTTCTTTGTAATTAATAATTTGTGGGTGACATTTGGAGATATAAATGAAGTCAAATGAACGCTGGTTCTAAATCTGTTTCTTTCACTGAATCCCCTGTTTCTTCTTCCTTTCAACAACATACCAAAAATACACCTTAATCTTCCATCATGGTGTTAAGGTTTATTTGTGGATTATCAGTTTTCTCTAACAAGCTTTGCTCTTGGTGGAGTCTTCTAGGAAAACAACTTCAAATTCTCAAGAATCCTTAACCTCAGCTTGGACTTTCTGCACTACCTTTGTTTATATTTATCGCTTGCATGGCAGTCCTACTCACATATATCAACAATTCCAAAACAGAACGTGTGTGGAAGAAAATGTCATCGAACACCAAACTCTTTCCTAAATTCTTTTTTGGAAAAGTGACACTACTATTCCCTCCTTTTCCCAGGGTCATGGATATTTTTCATCTACTTGGTCAGTAAGTTCCTTTAGCAGGAGCCAGACATTTAGTTTGGTCTGTTAACAGGTCCTGCCACTTTATCATCAATGGTCTCGATCGCTATCTTGCTCTCCTGGATAGTAAGTGCCCCACAAAGGCAGGGACAATGTCTTAAGATCTTTGTGTTCCTAGCTCCTAACATTGTGCCTGGTTACTTGTAGGCACATGGCTTAACAAATGTTTGCTAAGAATGAATTATTGTGTGACTGGGCGGCCTTCGTTCTTGTTCACTTCGGTCCTTATTCTCATTGCTCACTTTGGCCACCTGAGTGTCAGACACCTGCAACAGTACCTGTCACTCCTTCCATACCTCAGAGCCAGAATCAGCCCCTTGGGGGCTCCTTGGAACGTCTTACTTTTTAAGGATCCCATTTGTTTTTCTTTTTGTGTTCCAAACATTTTTTCGGACTATTTAACTACCCTCCTGAAAAGCTTCTAGTTAACTTTTCAAATTAAGTGAGAATGTCATGAGTTTCAAAAGATTTCATTTAATGGGCATTCTCTTTTCTAGATGTTTCATCTCTAATTAAATCTAATTAAATTTTTGCTTGAATTCTTTGCTCTAGTCCCTTACATTTCCTAATGGTACCTGAACGTGATTTTCCCACTACCTGATCTGGGCCTGTCCCAAGGCAGTGCAACATCCTTTTACTTCTCTGCTTAAATACTTGCCTTCAGAATGGCTTGATATTCACTTCCAGGAAGCTTCTGCTGGAATCTAGACACCACTAACAACTAAAGAGCTGATCAATACTCATAGCCTAGTTGTTTGTGTGTTTAGTGAAGTTTCATCCGCATTTTAAAGTGTTTATTGTGCTAGAAAGCAAAAGGCTTACAACAGCACAGGCCAGCCACTTGGTTCAAAGGAAATGTGGCAGGATGGGGGCACTTTGCCATCAGACAGACTGGCCCAGGTTACTATTTCCTAGCAGCGTGATCTGCAAAATGGGTCAACAATAACCTCCTGGACTTGCAGAGGATTAAATGTAGGGCAGTTGGTCCAATGCTGGGAAATGGTAAATTTGCTACATGGCAGTAACACAACTGTTAGATTAAATAAGCCTGTTTTAGATCATTTGCTTTACAAAGCAGAACTAGTTGTTTTTTAATAAGGGGACATAGGAGAAAGTGATTTATTTCTCCTGTTTAAGGTCTTGGGAAATAAGATCTTTCTACTCACCTTTAAATATTACAACATTAATTTTTTATTCTCAGAATAAATTAGGTAACCTCAAATCTATCTCACCTTGAAATTCTAATTTTTAAAATAACTGCAAAATGCTTTTTTAATACTAACAGTTGAAATTAGGTAACCTCAAATCTATCTCACCTTGAAATGCTAATTTTTAAAATAAGTGCAAAATGCCTTTTTAATAGTAACAGCTGGAGTTAAGTACCTATCTATATCTGTGGTATTTTTCTCATCATACAAGTTGTCTTGTCTTCTCATCCAAAAAAAAAAAAAAAATCAAAGATGTATGTGGTCCACTCTGAGAGCCAATGCATACAAAAAAATCCACCCAATAAATATATGGGCACATTCTGACGACAGAAAAACTGGCTGACTCCAGGAAGAAAAAGGACAACCTAGTCCATTTTAACTTTTGGTGGAAAACATCCTTACATTGTGTCATTGGGAACCTGAAGGCAGAAAGAGTGTGTTCTAAAAAACCTAACTAGGGGATCCCTGGGTGGCTCAGTGGTTGAGCACCTGCCTTCGGCCCACGGCGTGACCCTGGGGTCCCGGGATCAAGTCCTGTGTCGAGCTCCCTGCATGGAGCCTACTTCTCCCTCTGCCTGTGTCTCTGCCTTTCTCTCTGTTTCTCATGAATAAATAAAATCTTAAAAAAAAAAAAAAACAAACCCATAACTAAAATGAGGATACTCTGAATGCCCCTACAGTATAAGAGTGTGCTACCAAAGAAATCACTGTCTTCTGGGAAGGATAATCAGTAGCAGGGTATGGGACTAGACCACAGGTGTCTGGTTTAACAGTTCACAGTTGAAAGTGGTACGTGGTACGTAGTCTCAGAAAATTTTAAAATGCTTCTGCTGAGCCAGTTACCGGTAAGACTCCACCTACGTATGTACTACTTAATTATCTTCCTACATACTTGAGCCCAAGTGACCTGTCAGCAGAGGGTATCTGTGACAGTTATAAGAGAATGGTCCTGCTTGCTTAGGATTTTGTGTGGGTGTTGAACATGGCACTTTAAAAACAAATTTATGAGGTGCAAACTTTTAATGCAAAGATGACTCATAAAGTTTCAGAATGTGTAAATATGAAGCACAATCTAACTTACACCATCATTGGTGCTCACCCACAGCTAAACTAAGCTGTTTACCAAATTGCTCGGACTGCTAGGACACTCATAAACTTTGCCACTTTTCATAAATTGATGAGGAAAATTCTCAGCTGAGGTTAACACTTGTGTGGCACTACCAACTTGTCTCGAACAAGTGTTCTATTTATTTCATCTGCATTTTCAACATGTTTGATGGCAGCACTCAATTAACTCTGAGTTTGTGAAGAAGTCAATGTTTTGGAGAAGTTGCACTGGAAAACTTAAATAGACAGCAGTTGCACAATAAAGTAAAATAATTAAATAGAGGAAATTTCTCACTGAAGTGTCTGGAACCAGGCGATAATAACATGGGGAAAAAAATAAAATAGAAAAAGGATCATAAGGGCAGCCCCGGTGGTGCAGAGGTTTAGCGCCGCCTGCAGCCCAGGGAGGGCATGATCCTGGAGACCCCGGATGGAGTCCCACGTCAGGCTCTCTGCATGGAGCCTGCTTCTCCCTCTGCCTGTGTCTTTGCATCCCTATGAATAAATAAATAAAATCTTAAAAAAAAAAGAAAGAAAAAGGATAATTAAACATTTCATATTTATGTTGAAAAAAACCCCAAGACTAGGATTTTATCTGATTCATTTCTGATGTTCCTTGAGAGTTTTAACCAATTGCTATAAAAATTCCTTTTAATTGAAGATGAACTTGTAAAGACTAAAACTTTAACATTACTGGAGTGATATGTTGGAAGTAATTTAGCTGTCAGAAAAATAACCTTGGAAATTGTGACCAAATAGATACAACCAGGAGACCTAGAATTCAATAGGATGTTGTGTTGTTTTCATACTTGAAAATTTTGTGGCCTTTAAAAGACAGGGAGAATATGAAAGAATAAAGAAATAAAGGAGCTTAGTTAACCAATTCTGTAAAAAGAACCTATCATTGTTCATAGCTCCCTTAAAAGTGTTTGTTAAAATTTGTTAAACTTAGAGAAAGATTTACAAGTTCAAATTAAAAAATAAAGTTTTGATTAGCTTTTTCTGCATACAAAAGATAAAAAGACCTTCAAGGTATTTACTTTTTTTTAATTTTCACAGGTCAGCAGACACTAAGTCAGAGGTTTTAAAGCTTTAACCATTGCCTACTCAAAAAAGTAAGAAAAGCCCTGGCCCTACAAAAATCTCAGAAGATGAAAGTTACCAGCGTACCTGATGTTTATAGTATCTAAAGAAACTAATTTAACCAATTATAATACATGTATAAAATGGAAAAAATACACAGTATTAACCTATCAATGCTCTGCCACCTATGACAAACATACAAACTGCACACACATATTATATACGACAATGCCCATATTCTCAGAGGATAGCATGTGAAATGTATAGGGGTAAAGATTGCATGATGTCTTCTGCTGATTTTAAAATGATTCAGAAAAAAATATATAAATAGGTAAAGCAAATATAGATAGTTAATAATTATTAAATCTAAGTGTTAGGAATATGGTTATTCATTGTACTTAAAAACTTTTCTTTTGTTTGAAATTTTTTATTATTAAAACTTAGAGAATAAATATATTATTTTGAGGAGAAAAAAAAAAACCCCTAGCTCTAGCATTTAGCTTTTGATCAATTCTATGTAAAATAAGAATCATCTTACAGAGTCAATCAGGAAATAGTTAACGGTAAGGTTTCTGGTTTAAGATTAAACATTCACAATAAAAATATATTTCTGGACATTGGATCATTCTTTTATTAATTTTGGAGGCCCATGTGAGAATCTCATTTATGAGGACACCCACAGATAATAATGAATAAAGCTTAGATTCCCTGAAACAACACCCCCATGCACACACAGCTGGACCATAAGGTGGTTTTTAGTTAAGTAGCAGCTACCATATATGGTTATATGCTGTAACCTGTTACAAACAAAACATTTACTCAATTCTAACTTTAGCTGTTTACTAACCAAATCATTTCCTATAAAAGATAGACCTCCTCCTAGTTGCATTAGGTTAATATGTCGGTTGATTTTCTTTTGAAGACTCAGTGCATCAGTATTAAGTGAAGTTACAAGAATACAAGCAAAAGAGGTCAACTATGTCAGTAATACTTTAACATTTGAGTAACCAAGTGAACAGACTATATGTGAGAAAATTCCTTGCACGCATATGTAGGTTGCAATACCACCACCTGTAACTGTAAATGTACACTAGGTGCGAGGAGCCTCATAATCACCAAATCCTAAAGCTTTTACCCAAGTGGTTTTACTTATTAAGGGCAAGAAAAAGCACACGTCCCCCCTGCTTTTTGTAGGTTCAATGGGACTGTCAAAAAATAATTCTTATCCTGATCTAAGCAGATCTAACTGGCATTCAGCATCAAAAACAACTTTTTTTTTTTTTTGTCTATGTAGTCTCAAAGTCTAAAAAACATTCACACTACAATGGCTTTCGAGCACATCTCACCCCTTTCTGTGAACTATCCTAGACCTGGCTGATCTCTTCTGCATCTCAATCACAGAATGTTTTCTTTCACCTGTAAAATACCTACTAAACACACAGGATACACTTACATGTCAGCTCCTTATTTATTCCAACTCTGTAACACATTGGGATCTGCATTTTATCTGAGTGGTATTAGTTCCCATTCAACTAGGTATGGGATTCACAAGGGACAAGGATCATGCCTTGCTTCCTCTGTGGTCCCCGCCTGCATCCCACTGTCTAGCACAGTGTAGGGACCAGTGAAGCCCTCAGTTCATCTACTAAACTCATCGATTAACTTCACTGCAGGGGTGCTTGGGTGGCTTGGTGGGTTAAAGCATTCAACTGTTGATTTCAGCTCGAGTTGTGATCTCAGGTGGTGAGGCCAAGCCTGAACTCTCATCAGACTCCACACTGGGGGTGAGGCCTGCTTGAAATTCTCTCCCTCTGCCCCTCCCTCACCTCTCCCCAGCGTTCTCTCTCTCTCTCTCTCTCTCTCTCTCTCTCTCTCTCTCTCTCTCGACTTCACTCTCTCAAAACAAAACAAAACAAAACAAAACCACCTTCATTGCAAAGCTTCTGCTAATCTCTGTCCTAGGTGAGCTCAGTATCTTATCATTAGTGGTAATACTGAGGCCAAATCACATTAACACTTTCAAAATATATGATAAATGTTAAATCCTAACGTCCCTCCTTTTATTAATTTAGTTGGTTAGATATGGTGGGTCACTTTTACAATGTCTTTGTGAACCTCTCTCATGTGAGAATGACACAAACCAAACCAAACCATATCCCCCAACAAGGCCAGAGTCAACAGAGTACCTGTTTGCCAAATAACTTCCTAGAAATGAAGGTAGTTGATAATAATGCTTCATCCTGGACATAAGTCCTGGGCCTGGCCCCTTACACCTAACCCTAGCCCTAATAACCATTGAGGGGAGGCGGGGCAGGGGGGGGGCAGTATTACTTACTGTGAAAAGTGCTTTGCAGAAAGTTCTATACACATAAATGTGTGAGGCACAGAAAATCTTTATTGCCACAGGAAGCAAGTGCACTCGTCCCACCTCACCAACAGATTTAAGAGTCACAGAAACGCAGACTTCACATAGTAAAGTACAACACAGACTTGGGGAGATATGGTCCCTTGGACTATATTGGCTGTAATACTGAGGTAACCAATTGACCTTGTTCAGTGAAAATACCTCCAACACAATGAAAAAAATCAACTAGTTATAACATCCAATTCATATATACAATTCAAATAAAAATATATATTATTTGCTTCAATGTATAGCAAATTTAATACATTAGTGTTTACAAAATAAAAACTGTATTCTACTGAAATTTTTCTTGTGCTTCCCCCTTATCATTACGCTTGAAAGACCAGGAAAGTATGATACTTAAGGAAACTTATTTATGGATTTAAAGATGCAGATGCAGTGTGTGGGTCCATGAAAGACAGATAAATATTAACTGGAAGATTACCGCATCTTTAAAAATTGTTGCTTATTAAAATCTACAAACTTGAACTGTAAGACACAATTAAAAAAAAACCCACAAAATTTCTCAAAATAGATTAGAATACAGGAAACGTTTCATGAAACTACTGAGATACTAACCAGTTCTATGGCTAATATTAAAAACTGAACAATCTATTTAAATTGTACTCATACTATTTCTACACACAGTGAACAATACAACCACAATAATCAACCTCAAGCTAGCAACAAAGTTGCAAGGTCCATAAAAAGCTTCTTCAGGGGGCAAAACACTATGGTACAATTAAAACATTTAGGTAGGAAAAAGAGCCTTTCAATAGTATAAAAGTTGTTTACTGGTGTTTCTATCGTAAAGCTAGTCTACAAATCAAAATGAAAAAGCAATTATATATGTGACAGTGATCAGAGACTACAGTCCAGACATTTCATCTAACATGTGGCTGATGAATTTTAGTATAACAGATTATGACTTAATTTTTTTTTATGCAGTTATGACCTAGAGCATAACTAAAAACCAAAAAACCACATATTCCAGTTCAGTATGCTGTTCTCAGCAATACCTGGGTTTAGATGAATCTGGAGGAAGTAGGTAAGCTGTCAAATATCTTCTCTTAAACCAAAAGAAAAAATGTAAATTGGCAGAAATAGTATTTTTTTTTTAAACCATGGATTCCAATGTGTAATTCTCATAAGTATGCAAGGACATTATTAACATTTAGTCACACACACACCCCCAAATATGCACACAGCCTATTAATTAAATAGGGGGAAGGGATGAAAACATACTTTCAAGCTAAAATGGATCTTAAGAAAAAACTGCATACACATATATGAAAGGCATACAAGGCTGTGAAATAAATAACGAATCCAGGTGTCAACTAAACCTCCTCAGAATTATGCCTGCAAATGTGGGGTAGTGATTGTCCACACCTGTATGGTCTGGGCGAGCCCCGACTTTCTCTGACTCCATCCAGGACATAAAGAAGAATTTCAACCTATAAAATGGTTCTCACTCTATTATATTATTAGAGCCTTTTTAACAGTCACCATCCTTTTCACATTTGGGGTTAACTTACATATGTCTTAATCCATTCAACACCGTCTTAAATAGCAATATTTAAGTCACGGCTTTTGCACATCAGTTCAGTTGTTTCAAGTTCTCTGTCCAAGTAGTAGCTTCCTATTTTTATGATATAATGATATAAGCATTCTGAGTCAACTAAGTAAAAGAGATTTCTACTCTATTGCTCATCTTTTTAACTTTACTTTAGTATTTATTAATTGCATAAATGTGCCTGACTAAGCCAGCAAAAGTGACATTTTACGACTAAAAATGACACATTTCCCGTTAAACAAAATCAGTTTTATCAAATATTAAATCCACAATATATTTTCCTTGGTTTAAATTGAGCATTTGCTTTCCATTTTTCCAAAGTCACTGCAACCCTGCCAATAACTACATCACTTAAACTTTCTTTATGACTGCAAAGATTCTAAACTAACATATAATAATATTTATGCTAAACACACTTAAAAGTAGACAGTGAAATTTCAAGTAAAATAAACTGTTTCCACCTTTATTGGACCAAAAGGCCTCCACATCTAGATTTTACTTCTATAAATTAGACAAATACATTGTACATTCTTAAATAATGAATGCTTACAATATTAATTTGTAAGCTTTTCTACATAAAACGACTTACACAGGAATGTGAATGGATCAATATTTCTGTTACAGACTGCAACATTCTCTCAATTTTCTCTTTTGTGGCTGTTGTTTTGTCTTCCTGGTTTCCGCAGACTACCGTATCAGTCCTTATGCTTTGGCTATGAATCTGTTTGAGCTGAATGAGGCAACGTTGGTTATTAAGGCTTATGTCTATGATGGAGCATTATCCTTAAATCGAATGCCGTTTCCAGAGAATAGTGGGAGAATCACAGCTATCTTGAATCTTCAGGCTCTGTTTTGATGACTTTTTTTTCTAAAGTAAAAGCTGAGTGAGGGTAGTCTTTTAAAATCCCAAGACTCTCTGCATAAAAATGGAAACACAAAGAGTGCAGATACTTTAAATCAATGGATCACAAAAAAACAAATTCCAGCTTATGAAACAAACCCCTAAACTCCATAGCAAACAGTATCAACTATTCATAATTCTGCGATTCCATACAAAAATTTTATGTTTATAGAGCTGCAGTTAAGAGCTTGGATTCTGGATTTAAATTCCATCTTTGCCAATTAGTACCTATATACATCTCTAGACAACTTACACACCTCTCTAGGCCTTAGTATCTTTCTTCATCTATAAAATGGGGGATAGTACCTATATAAGGTGGCATGAGAGTCAAATTCTGAAAGACACAAAAAACCACTTAGCACATAGACCATATTTTTATTTAATGCTTAGTTCAACATGATAAAAAACCATGTAAACTAAAACTGGTCATGCATATACAACAAAGTTACTAGCTAAAATATTTAATTACTATCAATGAAAAAATGAGACAGAAAACATCTTCTGGGACACCTGGGTGGCTCAGTGGTTGAGCACAGGGCATGATCCTGGAGTCCTGGGATCAAGTACCCCATCAGGCTCCCTGAAGGGAGCCTGCTTCTCCCTCTGCCTCTGTCTCTGCTTCTCTGTCTTTTATGAATAAATAAATAAAATCTTAAAAAAATAAAAAAAAACATCTTCCATATTTAAATATGGAACTGTGTTTAAAAGTTCTATCCATGATACATTAGGGTGGGAGAAACAGGGATAAGACTACTTTCATAAGGAATCATTCCTTGGAGTTATGTGTATATAGTTATCTCAACCTCACGAAAACACTACAGAATGACAACAAAATGTAGTTTCTATGTGAAATACTGGAAGACAGATACCTATACACAAAACACACTTTGAAAAGGATTCTAGAAGTGTAACCAAAACTAAAGCCTTATCTGAAATCAGTTCAATTTATGAATTTACTCACTCTATGCAAAAATGGATTTTAAATTTAGCAAGAGTATAAAAAAAGTAGCTACAATTTACTGAATTCCTATCAGCCAGGCAATTCATATATGCTACCCTGTTCAATGCTTATAACTACTCTATGCAGGAGAAATTATGTCTGTTTTACAGATGAAGCAACAGACTTCAAGTGACTCCTAAAGTTACTCACTTTAACTCAAAGACGGAATGATACTAGATACTTTCAAATGGTGGTTTCTACTACTTAGTGTCTAACTCACTTTCTCTTGGGGAAAAATAGGCAGACATCTAACTATAATAAAGAAGAGCTTATCCTTTTATGGAGTTCAGTTTACTTCTGTAATATAAATATCATCCCCAACATGCATCTGCAAGAAAAGTTTAGATTTTGGTATATAAGGTTTCTTAGTGGGAGAGCAAACACATAATCCATCATTTTCACAGTATGAAAGGCTGGAAAAAGGCAACAGCATAACTCAAATCAGCCATGGATTATTTGGTTTAAAATTCTGAAATTAAATAAAAAAATAAAAATAAAAAAATAAATAAATAAATTAATTAATTAATTCTGTATAAGGGCAGCCCGGGTGGCTCAGTGGTTTAGCGCCGCCTTCAGCCCAGGCCGTGAACCTGGAGACCCAGGATCGAGTCCCACGTCGGGCTCCTGGCAAGGAGCCTGCTTCTCCCTCTGTCTGTGCCTCCACCTCTCTCTCTGTCTCTCATGAATGAATGAATGAATGAATGAATGAATGAATGAATGAATGAATGAATAAATAAATAAATAAATAAATAAATAAATAAATTTTTAGAAATCTGTATAAAAGTCACCATTTGTGTAATAGATAATCAAAACTGTATCAACCTTTATGAGTTTTCCCCTGTCAAATCTTTGGAATACTATGTTCTAAAAAAGACTGGCTATTATTAGGGCAATCTTATTTCCAAGGGGAGAAAAACTGACTAGTAGCATTGTAATGACTTTTTTTTGACTGGGGGGAGGGGGCACAGGGGGGTGGTGGAGATGTGGAAGATTGGAAAGTAGAATTTAAAGATGTTTTATTCAAGTGTTACTGTCTCTCATCACATCCCATATTCTTACCTGACTGGGACTTTGCCTCACTGGAGTAAAGTCTACTCAGCTCTCCATCCACCACAAAATGATGCGGTTGTCTGTTCTGTAAATTAGGCATTCGGAGATTCAAAGGTCTTTCTCCTAATGAAAAGGAAGAAAAAACCGAATATGAATAATATTAAAAACACACTATTGGTTTTTCTTAAAAACATGTTTTCACAAATTTCCTAAACACTCCTTAGGGAAGAAGTAAGGAAAGGCAACAGGTACCGAAGAATTTAAATAATAGCTAGAGGAATATTTTAAATAATAATTGAGAAGGAAAATGGCAATTCATGCTAGTTCCAAGGTTTTACAATTCTATCAGGACATTTTTTTAAGAGGGATACGTAAACTAAAGACAGATTTTTCCAGTAAGTACTCCAATTCTGGCATATGGTAACATCCTCATCCCCTCTGTAAGGCATTCTCTTACCAGTGCAATCATTTTACCAAGACATATCATTAACCACATAATAACAAATATCAAAGACAGAGATGGCTTCAAACAATTGCCTATTCCTAAACAGCAAGAACAAAACCTATAGCAAATCCATTAAAACAGAATTAGCACAGATATGGTAAAAATGTTTTACACGCCAAATCATCTCTCTCATGAACCTAAATCTACATACTCAGCTGACTGCCACCCCAAACTGCATTATCCTGGTTTCACAAATTAAAGTCATCCAATCTTTAATTTTGGTTTTGCTTCTTAACTCTTTTAAGTCATAACCGTCAAGGATGACTAGAGAAGTTAAACAAGAGCTCAACTAAACAGTTTCTGTAATATTTTTAAAAAGGAAGAATGCTCTTCTCCTCCAGCACTCTGATCTGCTGACATATTTTATCCAACACTTAGAAAATGCTTGTTAAGATGGTGTTCTCACTTAGAGAGAAATCTTTTTTTTTTTTTTGACAATGGCAGCCACTCTCTAGAAAAGTATAACAATAATATGTAAAACATCGGGATGCCTGGGTGGCTCAGCGGTTGAATATCTGCCCTCGGCCCAGGGCATGATCCTGGAGTCCTGGGATTGAGTCCCACATCGGGCTGGGCTCCCCACATGGAGCCTGCTTCTCCCTCTGCCTGTGTCTCTGGCTCTCTCTGTGTGTCTCATGAATAAATAAATAAAATCTTAAAATAATAATAATAATAATATGTAAAACAACAACATTATTTTTTTTTCAAACACGTATCATTACTTGGAACTAGAGGATATACTTCTATATTATATATTGTACATTTTCCTCCATTAGGGTGTAAGCTCCAAGCCACTGATGTATCTTTGGTGCCTAGAAGAGCACCTGGCACACAAGAGATACTAGGAGTAAATGATGATGATTTGAGATTTTCTTCATGTGTGAATACAAAAACAAAAAAAAAAAGAAAGAAAATAGTTTTTTTAAATGATGAAAATATTCATCAATCATAGCTTTCTAAACTTAAGAATTCAAGAGAACAATTTCCAATGTCCCACATAAAATATTTTCATAGGGAATGTAGGCCAGTCTAAAGCCTGAAAGCACATAAAATTTCTTCTCTCTTCCATTCTTATAATATCTCTACAAATCTCTGTATTCTTATCATAGTACTTTAGAAGTACTTACTGTACTCTCTTAGGAATCAAATATTATAAACATCATAGAAAAATTTGTTTGTGAAGTCTAATAAAATATGAAATTGTGATCTTTTAAAAAATGATAAATGTCTCCCATGGAATCAGTTTCTTTGGGGAGAAGGATCTACACTGTTTACACGTCCCATTCCCACTCACCCTTTACAAAATAAGTGTCAACTGTGTATGTCAGCTAATTTAGGGATGAGGTAAAACACAAACATATAAACCAAACTCTGCTAATTAAATCTGCAGGATCAAATTTTTCTTTTGAAAAAGACAATTTAAAAACTAATTTTTATAAAGAATGTATAACAATCTATAAAATATCAGTATTTAAAAATAAGCTAACTTTTGTTTCTCTTTAAAGTGCACATAGTAACTGGCTCTCAAAATGTAGGTCACTCTAAGATATACCTTGTCCATCAGAATTATCAGAAGTCACGCCATTAGGGCTGTGCTCTTCTGAGGTTTGCCTGTAAAGTCCTGCAGAGAGTCTTCTCTCAGCATGCTGCAGTCTCTCATAGCCAGCTGGGGTGCAAAGGAACTCCATCTGCTTTGCCATCACCTTTTCAGGCTGCTAGTAAGTAAAGCAAAAATAAAATCAGTAACTAAAACATTCTACATTTTTTTTAATGGTTTAAAGATGCCTATTTCAGACTCCAGGCAAATATATTTAGTATTCATTAAATTAGTTCACACTTCATGTGGTATACACGTTCCATAAATACGCTTAGATGTCTCTATCATGTTAAAACATAAAATGTTGGAGTCTGTGCAAAAGAAAAAAAATCTTCCTGCACATCCTTTAAAGAGAATTCCATTTCAGCTCAAAGGCAAAATAACCTTAGCTTTGTTTCCCCAAGTACGGAGTCCTTTAAAATATTTTTTTAAAAAGGAACCTCAGAGCAACAGCAACATCTGCTATAAACTGCTTCTAACACACAGGGTGAGATCTTGGCATTTTTATTTTAGGATTTGGCACTATATCTACTCTGATATGATGACAGTATGTTGGGGGAGGAAAGGTGTAAAATGGCTGTCTAGAAGAACAAGACAAACACACCTCCCACCAAAATTAAACAATGCAAATTATGCAGGAAAAACACCAGTGCCAACAAGACTCTTCCCCTTCATCATGGAATGAAACTGCAGTATTTCCCAACCAATCATAAAAAGACACGCTTAAAATACACAAGTAAATAGAAATTCATCTTTGCATGTATTTTATAAGTTCTTTCTTTATGTATTGTTTTAAATTACTTTTATATGATGTTCAAAGCAGTGCATTTGTGTTATTTTGCCAAGGACGTTAATAGTCAAAATGCAGATATGAATCACTGCCATGCTACATAAAAGAATAGTATAGGGAAGTAGCTATATAAAATTAGTTACAAAAAAATCTCGATTCACAATAGAAAAAAAAACAATAAATGAAAAGTATTAATTCACAGAAGAGGATAAAATCTTATACTATTTTTCTGAATGCACATAAACCAGATCAAAAGGAGCTTGTAACTTCATTTGAACTTATTACTAATTAATTGATAAAATTTCAGCAAGATTTCCAAGGAGGAAATGTGTTTTTCATTGTCTTCAGAAGAAGAAACAAAACTTGGCACTACTGAGTTGGCCAAGAGCAATCACTAGCCAGAAGATCCACAGGCATAAAACCTATGGTGCTTTCTAAAAGGTGGCATTTGCAGAAATGACTTTTTTAAATGTTAATTTCAGCACAGGACAATTAAATAATAGCGAAAGCGCCTGAAGCTACCTATTAAACGTAACTATTTTTTCTCATACATGAATCAAAATGATTTAGCCATAGCTACAATGTTGATGATTAATGTTTTTATTGAGAACTAGTACTACTGTATCCAGAGTTGTATTACACACAGCCATAGTCAACATAGCTATTTTCCTGGTAGCAAATTGCTTCTTTTAAGTTTTCTTAAGTAGAGAATCTGTCTTTCTTCCTATAAAACTACAAAGAATAAGTAACACTGTATCAGATTTTACTCATTCCGTTATTATTGCTATCTTGTTGATACAGCTGTGGATCAAATGACATTTCAAAAACAACACAAATCCAGTCCTTGGATGCTTAAAATGGACTCTAGCTGAAGCAGTCATTTATTTTTCAATCTACAGATAAATAATATGGAATGTTAACTGGTGGTTTACATTACCTGTGAACCAAGAGCAGCGAGTTCTTCACTCTTAGCTTTAGCTTGCTGGAAGAGTGTTTGCATAGAGTCCTGGAAATCTGGAAATCCATCCTATGGGTCAAAGAATAAGTCCTTTTTTACTTAGAGTTTGTAAATAAAATATCAACAACTCGGGGATCCCTGGGTGGCACAGCGGTTTGGCGCCTGCCTTTGGCCCAGGGCGCGATCCTGGAGACCAGGGATCGAATCCCACATCGGGCTTCCGGTGCATGGAGCCTGCTTCTCCCTCTGCCTGTGTCTCTGCCTCTCTCTCTCTCTGTGACTATCATAAATAAATAAATTAAAAAAAAATATCAACAACTCAGAAAACGGCAAAGAAAACCACGTTAATCCTACTACCCGAGTAATCATGATTGATTTTTTTTCATGATTAAGATTTTAATGTACAATACTTCTTTTCAGTCTTTTATCTACAATTACCCTATTTCTACAGCTGTAACCTCACAATAATACAAATGAGAAAGATAGTAAGACTTATACATCACTGGAATACAGACTTCACAAGCATTTGTGAATAATAATGGTTATATAACATTTCATATAGCATTTCACCTAGTGGTTCAATTAGTAATAACCACTATATTCAATCAGATGTTTAGATTCTTTTTCTTATTCTTAGATTGAAAAACACTCCAAAAATATTTTCATAGAAATAGTATTTTCCATAGCTTAGATTACCCAATACAGTCGATTCCTAGAAGTTCAATTACTGCAGAGGGATGAACATTTTTATGAACATTTTTCATTCACTACTTCCCCCAAGGGCCTTTACTAGTTAATCAAACCCTAAGTTTTTCTTGCCAGGACTGGGTGGTGTTGTTTTCTTCATTTTTGCCAATTCATATTTTTGTAATGAGATTCAAAATTTTTAAAAATTTTATATACTGGGGATCCCTGGGTGGCGCAGCGGTTTGGCGCCTGCCTCTGGCCCAGGGCGCGATCCTGGAGACCCGGGATCGAATCCCACATCGGGCTCCTGGTGCATGGAGCCTGCTTCTCCCTCTGCCTATGTCTCTGCCTCTCTCTCTCTCTCTGTGACTATCATAAATAAATAAAAATTAAAAAAAAATTTTTATATACTGTAGTTATATATATTTTATAAATTCTTCTATCATTATAAGCTTCAAAAAGGTATCCTGCTTTAGAGATTTGATACTCAAACCTACCCTCTAATTTTTTTAAAGATTAATTAATTAATTAATTAATTTATTTATTTATTTATGAATGATAGACATAGAGAGAGAGAAAGAGAGGCAGAGACACAGGCAGAGGGAGAAGCAGGCTCCATGCAGGGAGCCCGACATGGGACTCGATCCCGGGACTCCAGGATCACGCCCTGGGCCAAAGGCAGGTGCCAAACTGCTGAGCCACCCAGGGATCCTCCCCTCTAATTTTTCTAAAGCTTTATTTCATTGTTTGCTTTGTTTTTTAAATTTAACTCTCTAACCACCCATCAGAAATTTATTCTGTTTTATATAATGGGATAAAGAACCAATGAAAATTTTCTTCAAAGCGCTACCCAAGAATCCCAACCTGAATTTCTAAAGAATTCTGCTGATGTGTCATTTCTCCTTCAGCATTTCATTGACAGGCAATGGGGACTGAATCAGAATGACCTGCACTCACGGCGCCTGGGTTGGCACAGTTGGTTAAGAAGCTGACTCCTGATTTCAGCTCAGGTCACAAGCTCAAGGTCCTGGGATGAGGCCCCATGTCAGGCTCCCTGCTCAGTGGGGAATCTGCTTCAGGATTCTCTCCCTCCCTCCCCCTGTTCACCCTGTACCCCTTTGCTCACACATACACCCTTTCTAAAATAAATAAATCTTAAAAAAAAAAAAGGAAGAAAGATCTGCTTTCCATGTTCCAATTCTATCACTTATTCGCGATGTAACACTGGAGGAGTAACTCCACCTTCCAGAACCTTAGTTTCTATCACATAAAAAATAGAGATGGACACTTGGGTGGCTCAGTCAGTTAAGCATCTGCCTTCAGCTCAGGTTATGATCCCAGGGTCCTGGGATGGAGCCCTGCATTGGCTCTCTCCCTCTCTCTGCTACTTGTGCGTGCACTTGCTCTCTCTTTCTCTCTCATAAACAAACAAATTAATAAAATCTTTAAAAGAAATACAGATAAGATCACCTATCTGTTAGGGTTGTTGTGAGGAGCAGATGAGACATTGCCTTTAGCATGTAATCACTGCTAAGTAAGTCTATCAATACATACGAAACAGAACTTCTACTAAACAGAACTAACTTGGGGGCACTCTCCCCTTGGACAATACATCAACTTAAATGATTTTCACTGTATACATACATACATATATATATATATATAGTGCCAATCCACCTACTACTTTTTTCCAGCTTTTTTTTTTCTCATTTATTGCTCCACGTGAATTTATATCTACAAATATCACAATAGCATGGTTTTAGTAACTTTACTAAAAGCTACTAAAGAACTCCTCACCGAAATGGTCATTGATCTCCAAAATATTTCACCCTTAGTTTCATGAGCTAATTATTTGTAGCAAAGAGTAAATTATTAAAAAACCAAAATTCTTATAGTAACATAGCAGAAAGAGATGTAATAATAACAAAATATCTTATCTTATTTGAAATAGATACTGATTCAAAAGTTTTTCTCCATCAGGGTCTTATTTCTCCCCTGTAGATCTCGTGTTTTCAAAGATTTCATCTAAAAAATTCATTTCTTAATAATTTGCCGTTTTTAAATTCAAAGACATGCAATGAAATAGAGTCAAGGGCAAATAAATTTGACATCTTGAGATAGTTCAGAGAGCTCTATGGTGGGTCAACAGACAATCAGCATTTTTAAAGTAATGAAAATAGTTGCCTTTCCAGGACCCCACAAAAACCAAGGACTCTGGGTTCAGAGGAATGTATGGAATATAATCATTGACTGAGCTAGAATGAACTTTATACAAGTGGATACAATCTAAATCCAAGTCAAAAGTACACTTGTTTCGTCATTCCATTTTTCTCTAAGAACTTATTTAGACCTACAAATCTAACTTTCTCTTTAGCAATCTCTCTTTTGCGTTAAGAGCACCTATCTGTTGGGGTTGTTCAACGAGGGAAATTCAATGAGGGAAGCTAGGAGAAGATCTGGAAAACAAGAGAAGCTATCACTTTCCAGGTGACTACCCACACCACCAGTTCCAACTATGTTTCTGTATTTTATACATACTATCTCATTTAATGTCTACCACAGCCCTAGATTCCTTTCATTTTACAGCTACAGACACTGGCTTCAAAGCCTCTGCTCAAAGTATAAAATCACAGAGTTACCACATTTATGAAATTCACAGCCGTAAACAGAGGTACATCACATCCTTTACAGCTCTGATTTTCATAAGCTGAACTGATTTAGATTTACAATGAGTTCAAAACTCAATTCTACTACTTACTTACTTTGATACTAGAAAGACTATTTCATCTTTTTGTGTCTACTCAGCTAACTTTAGAACCATTTTAAGAAACCAAGGGATCCCTGGGTGGCGCAGCGGTTTGGCGCCTGCCTCTGGCCCAGGGCGCGATCCTGGAGACCCGGGATCGAATCCCACGTCGGGCTCCCGGTGCATGGAGCCTGCTTCTCCCTCTGCCTATGTCTCTGCCTCTCTCTCTCTCTCTCTGTGTGTGACTATCATAAATAAATAAATAATTAAAAATTAAAAAAAAAAAAGAACTGTTTAAAGAAACCAAAAAAATTCATGAAGAACACTTAGCACAACGACTGGCACATAGATATTAACCCATAGATGTTTGCTATTGATATTTATTAAGTTCCCCTTAAATGCTACCAGATTTTTATTTTTTTACTTTTTAAAATTTAAATTCAATTTGCCAACATATATCAGAACACCCAGGGATCCCTGGGTGGCGCAGCGGTTTGGCGCCTGCCTTTGGCTCAGGGCGCGATCCTGGAGACCCGGGATCGAATCCCATATCGGGCTCCCGGTGCATGGAGCCTGCTTCTCCCTCTGCCTATGTCTCTGCCTCTCTCTCTCTCTCTCTGTGACTATCATAAATAAGTAAATTAAAAAAAAAAAAAAAGAACACCCAGTGCTCATCCCATCAAGTGCCTCCTCACTGCCTGTCCCCCAGTTACCCCATTCCCCCACCCATCTCCCGTTCTGCAAAATGCTACCAGATTTAATCACAGTAAAATAGCATGCTATGAGTGACTTGCTGCATCTCTATGATACAGGGGGAATAAGATAAACGTTAGGGATATTTACATAGTATAGACATCTTAGAGATTACTTACACGGTATAAGAAATCTTGGGTATTAATAAAATCAGCAATACTATTTTGGTAGGAACTGTTTTAGTGGAAAGAACAATGAAAATTTGGAAACACTTGTTTATTCATTAATCAAAAATCCCTCGTTTGCCTAATAAGTTCTAGACTTTGTACTCAATGCTAGGGATTCAATGACTCCTGAGAGAAAAGGACAAAGAGATCCAGAACATAGTGGAGGACACTGTGTCAGGGAAGTCTTCTGAGAGGGCATGATGTCTAGGCTAAGACTTGAAAGAAGAGAACTCTAGGCAAAGACAGAAGCTTATAGAAAAGCCTGGAGGTGGACAGCTGGGTGGCTCAGTGGTTGAGCTTTTGCCTTTGGCTCAGGGCGTGATACTGGGGTCCTGGGATCGAGTCCCACGTTGGGCTCCCTGCGTGGAGCCTGCTTCTGCCTCTGCCTGTGTCTCTGCCTCTCTCTCTCTCTGTGACTCTCATGAATAAATAAATAAATCTTTAAAATAAATGAAAGAAAGAAAGAAAGAAAGAAAGAAAGAAAGAAAGAAGAAAGAAAGAAAGAAAGAAAGAGAAAGAAAGAGAGAGAGATGGAGAAAGAAACAAAAGAAAAGCCTGTTGTCCTGGAGGCAAAAAGAACAGGACAACACACTGGGGAAGCCAGACAATATTTAATATAGCTAACAAGGGAATACACCGAGAAAGGAGTGGTGAGAGAAGTTGGATACGCAGGGCCAAATTCTGTAAGGCCTTGAAAGCCATGTTAAGAACTGTAG